ATCTCAATCGCTCTTGCTTCACAATCTCACAACCGACTGACTTCCCCTCCCCCCCCTCTTTACCAAACACCCTACACCTACCTTGCCTCAATCTTATCAATAAATCTTATACCAATCAACCAGAGAGTTAGAATGTGAACGCCTATGGTTAAAGACAGTTAGGCAGCCAAACACTTCAGGCGTCGCACCACTTTCAATTGTCACACACATCTCACAAACACAAAGAAGAAGAAGAGGAAGGACAGAGCGAACTAGTGTGGTGAGAGCAGGCTGCTAGCCAATTGGTAGACATTAATCGACGCTGATTGGTAGACATTAATCTAGGCTGATTCAACAACTAATCACAGCAGACTTAAACGTGGGCAAATATGATTCGCAGATAAATGGCTCTACTTTCCGAGAAATATCGAAAACAATCAATCAGGAGACTGTGTTTGTCTTCCGAGAAACAACCAATTAGAAGACTGCCTTTTTCGATCTGTCGCCTGGCCCTTGTCTTCTGTTGTTACACTGGTGCACGGTACACACACGTCCTTTGACCAAACGATTTCTAGCTGGAAGAAGCAAGAACAACTGCTATTATCGCTATGTTATGACTAATACATTAGTCGGCTTCAATAATAATGATAATAATAATGAACCTAATAATGACAATAATAATAATAATAATGTGAAATTTAGCATGACCTCAATTAACCCATTTGCTTTTCAGCATATATCGAATATTGTATACATTAAAACTATACACTAACACAATCATTGAAAATGGGTGTAGTTAAATAACTAACTCTTTGTGATTTAATTATTGATTTTATTTTATTGATTTGACATGCATGACATAATTAAACCATGGACTTCAATTAGATCAATCAATATGTATAATTGTATTCTATGGTATATTTTGATTTAAAGTGGAACACACTCTATTTAGTCTAAACTCTATCATTATTAGTGCTCATTGACGATGACAATATTAATTTGTTGTCGTACAAGTTATTACAATAGTAATAATAATTTACGGCGACTTGCCCTATTCAGGTAGGTAGTTACCTGGGTTCCAGTGGGAAGTCGTGACCAGTAGGGTGCAGCTGGTCGGGTGTGAGGACAAATACTCGCCAGCAAAGACATTGGCTAGCGGTCGCGCTATATCGTGAATTGGCAGAAGTTAGAATTCAAGGACCATTGGATCGGGTCCCAGTGGCTGAATGGTATACGAGCTCGCCTTGTAACCGGAAGGTCGTGGGTTCGAATCCCGGGGGTGCGTACTGATGAAGAGTCCCAAACTAGGACGAAACAGCTGTCCAGTACTCCCAGTTGGTTTTCCAATGGTTCTCTAACTACTGTCAGCTCATGATGAAATCCTGAAAATAATCATATTTGATTGCGAATATTTTATCATTATTAATTCATGTTATGTCAATCAAATTAGTGACCTTACAGAACAGTCTATACCGGTTAAATAGACCTAATTTCTTCTTAAAATGCTGCATTTATCTTTTTAACAATACATTATCGTTTATATTTCCCGCCACCAGCACGTATGACCTTGGGATCTTATTGACTGTTGGCTGTTTTAACTTGTTAATTAATTAAGGTAGTTAGTGTCTCTCAAGACCATTTTAAAGCGAGAACACCCAATTAGCCGTAATAAAAAGTAAATCACATGTGACAAGAAAGTTCGAATTCCAAGTCAGTCAATACGAAAAAGTGATCAATACAGATGTAAATCGACTACCGATCACAAAGATGGTTGTGCCAGGAGACACAATTTTATCATTCATTCATGAAGAGTTTAAATCAGTTGATTTTACGCTAAAACTTGAGCTGTCCAGAAAGATGACAAAAGAATTGAAATTACACCAACCAGATAATGATGGAGAAGATGTGCAGCTCACAGATGGATGATTTTGATGTGGTAGTGATAGCATTATATATACAGACAACCACGGACATGAATTCGACTGGGATAACCAATGATCAAGTATTAGGCAGAGAAAACAACAAGAATGCCAACCAGAGAATTTTTAGAAGCCAGCCGCCTGGTATTTCAGTGAATCATCAATCAATAGACATATCAAGATAGACAAAATTTACCAACTGATAAGAAGGAAACCTCACACACACACACACACACACAAAGGGTCAAAATTCAAGGCAAAGAAACAATCAGTTCCAATACCACAAGTAGCCTAGAGGCTGTGAAAACACACAAAAACAACCAATCACATCCAAGGTTACCACCAGAAGATATGACTAATAATCTCATGGAGAAATATATATATATTTCTTGTCTCGTTTTCTTGATTTCGGGTTTCGGTGGCATCGCATCGCGTTGTTGTTGCTAATATTGGTTAGAACAGTAGGCTCGAAAATCGATTAGGTTGGAAGTTGATTAGCAAAATCCACCAAGTGTACTGACAGTCATTATATACATACTTGATCGATTCATAGAATCTGATGAACATACTCAGCAGTACCAGACAGATATACTGATTTTAATTGAATTTTAGATTTTCCAGGCGATTGATTGGATCGAAATGCTCTGTCTCAGGTTGACATGTGCAGATGCTTCGACGATGTCTGAGCATGTAATTGGAATTTAACTGGTGGATGGTGAATAGCAGTAGAATCCAGGATAACGTGCATTTCGTCCTACTTGGGACTCGTCAACTGGGGGCGCCTGCACTTCTCAGTGAGTGATGATGTTCCCACAAAGGCTCGAACCCAGTGCCGACATGTCAACTTGAGACCGAGGAGCACTTCGGTCCGATCAATCGACGGGAAAATATAAAATTCAGTTAAATAATTAATAAGACCCGTTGGCTCTCTAGTCCCAAGGGGTCCAGCGGATAACGCTTTGGCGTTTGAAACTATGAGCACTGGTTTCGAGCCTCGATGGAAACATCATCACTCACTGAGAATTGCAGGTTGACGAGTCCCAAATAGGACGAAATGCACATCCTGGATTCCACTGCTAGTCACCATCCACTAATTAGTTATTTTGATTATTAGAAGCAACAAGGACCATATTTTTTATGCAACAGATTATAAGGCATAATTATTGATTCATTCAGAGTGGGAGATAAATCCTAGTTACTAAATAATCTCAAGAAGCTACTAGATGAAGAACCAATGAAACACATTGAAACCTCAGATATATCGCCTATTGATCTTCACATATTATCCATGATCGGTGATCAGCTAGTTGTTTTATTTATTACTGAATCACAAAATTGGTACACATTATAAGCATTACCAAGAGATCGCGCCATACAAATGCTGATAGTTAGTGCGTAGGCTGGGATACTGTGAAGATGCGTAGACGGAAGAAGGGACCGACTCCGAAGCTTCTGATTTGAAGCAGTGGAGCAGCCTTCCAATAGTTCCCGGTGACCAAAACAGGTTCATGCGACATTCGATTCTTTTGTATTCTAGAGCACATGTACAGACCAGAAGTGTTGGAATCGGAGTTTTCCAGCTCCCGTAAGTAAGCCACTTAGCATGTTCACCAATCGAGTGTTTAGAAGCGTTAGACTTTCGGATTCACCGTCTAACAATTTCGGCGAGGAATCCACCCCATCAGTGTTGTGAAGGTAGTCGATAAGAACTAACTAGCAATGACCATGAATGTCTGGACACATAACAACAGTTCGAAAGTAAGACCTAACTGACTAGTTTCAACATAGAACTTTGAACAGAAGTACAGAAGTTCGAGTTGCCACTCTCAATGGACAGTACAAAGCAATACAAGAGAGTAAAGAGAAGTTCAAAGAAGAGATACGTAGGATTGTGAGAGAAGAAGAATAGTAATATAGAAGAAAAATAAAATTGGATTGGATATTATAAATCACAGGGAGTGAATGCATCTGCACCGTCGTCAAGAACGATCACTTTGAGCCATACCATTAATTATCTCCAGCCTTCATCGGTTCTTACCATTCTAAGGACGACAACCAGTCAAGAAGTCTACACATCTCTACGTAGTTGGCTGGCTTACACTAACTGTTATGGATTTCATTGACCGATGAAGCCACTTTTCTGATTTGACTACCACTAGCTCTTTTACAACCTGATTCATCCTATGTCAGCTAATATTGGCCGTTGATGGCTACGCATGTCTGTTTGTCTCTTTTCAACATAGAACTTTGCATAGATGTGCACCAGTTCAAGTTGCCCAACTCCATGTAGCACACATACCAAGAGAAGAAAGTAAAAAGAAATGCAAACAGGGAAAGTAGACAGAGATATGAGACAAAAAGAATAATAATAAAGAAGAACAATATAGTTTCATTGGGTATTATGAGTCAAAAAAGAGTGGATGCATCTGAACCGGCCATTGAGAACGATGAGCTTGAGCCAAATCACCGGCTGTCTGCAGCCACCGTGCTGAGGATCACAACCAGGAAGACAGTCTACACCTTCCGATGTGGTGAAACTAACTGTTGTGGATTTCATTGATTGGTGCCGTGTTTTGGTTTAACCACCACCGGCTTTTTCCAAGCCTGAGTCTATGTCAGCTACCACTGCCCATCGGGTGAGGAGGGCGATGGCTGGGTATGAATAACACATGTCCTAACGATTTCAATCAATGCGACTTACAACCTCACCGATTGATATCCTCTCTTTAACTAGCATTTGACGCCTAACCTAGATATCGTTCACTCTGTTATACCACCACTTCACACGGGAGATAGAACACAGACACCTATGATCCAAGACAGCTAGTCAGGCGGCGTTTCCCGTCTTCCACTTTCAATGACCCCATATCTCACAACCAGTCAGTCATAAATGAGGACGTATCAAACTGTTTTTGATCGATAGCCAGCTGGATATCATGTATACTAAGCTAGAGATGGCATAGATTGGCAGGTAAACTGCAAACGAGCCCTATATATGCCTGAACTCTACTCACCCCCCCCCCCACCGTACCAGAAGAACTTAAAAATATAATGAAAAGTAAAAAACATAAATTAAAATAATTATCTCCACCAATAACTTACTTGTTTTCACCATACGTATATCTTCACCACTTAGTAGATTATGCAACAGACGTTTATTATCGATGGGACGCATTGAAAACAGTGCATACAACGAATCTTCAACAGTTAAACCCATCCCACGGGCTAGCTCAGCTGCCATCATTTGTATGATTAAACCAATACGTAGACGTAGAATATTTGCTAATTGTTGAGGTTGTGTACGTGCAAACATTGACAAGTAAATTAAAATTTCCTGTTTTTAGTATGATTTGATATGACGCAACACAATCAATGATCATCATTTGTGATAAAGAGACAGACAGAAATAGATAATTGAAAAAAAGAAGAGGAAATGAAAAGATAATTTAATAATTCCTATTGTAGCATTAGGAAAACAAAATATTCAGCGAAGACACTCTCGCCATCGACGAATTTATTATCAAGCTGTACAACTGTATATATATGGTTTCCTTTACGAACTTATATCCGGTGAGGGAATTAGGTCAACGGTGTGAATACATGAAATAATATTAATAATAATCAGAGTATGAAATGCAATGAAAATATTTGTGATTATAATCATGGTTCAATGTCAAGTGGCAAAGAAATTAATGTCACATATAGAATAATACATAAGGTGTATAGATTTTGGAAAGCCATACATAATTATAAGATTGGTAGACGAATATTAAATGTTACACTACATGGTGCGAAATTTGATGAGATAGAATTCAATATTGTAAAAATAAAAAATATAAAAATTAATAATTTTGAGTTTAAAATGATAAATGGGTCAAGTGGAAAACATTCAGAGGGAGAATAGTAACAATAATAATAATAGTACTAAGGGAAAATTACGTAGAATAACTAAGTAAACAAGATAAATAAATGTCTATCCCTCTACGGCCAAGGCAGAAGTAGGCATTGTACATACTTCTTTTGTACACAAAGGTCTGGCTGGCTTAAAGTCACATGAATGGCCTAGGTCTCAGCTGTCTTTAGAAGTCTGTAACGAAGAAAACGCAGCTGTCAAGTTAGCACGGATTCTATGTACGATCTTGAAATTATGATCAGGGTTGACCGAGTGACAGAAGTCGATCAGGTGTTCTAGAATAGAGCTACGCACACACACACACACACACTTCCTTTATCCCTTGTAAAACCATGCATCTGGAATATGTTCTCGTATCTGTGTAGAAAGCAGCGTCCTCTGACTACAGCCAATGTATCTTGCTCCACAAGAGCAGGTGAACTGATAGGTAGATGCATATGTAGGCGGCCAGACGGGGGAGCTTATCTTTTACAGAGGTAGAGAACAACTTGCGGCTGGTGAACAGCGTCATATGTAATTTTGCTGCAAAGAACGTCTTACTGACTGTTTTAGAGAGACGGTTTTTGAGCATATCTGAAGCTTGATCTGAACCTTTGAATTCCAAGTTCATGAATAAGGTTTTCTTTCTTTGGAACTGAGTCGGTGACCAGTTTAGACTGCTTATCTTTCATGTTACTGTCAATAAATCGATAAGGTTAACCATTTTCTACGAGTGTGGCTTTTAAGAAGTCAAGTTATGAGTCAACGCAATCAGAAGTGCAAATTTTCCTTATCCGAAAGCAGAGTGAATGAATTAAGTTTCTTTTCCTGGAAATAGGCACGCAACTGTAAACATTAGTTAGTTTTCCGTTCCATGTACGTTTCCGGTGGATAGATCTTTTGAAAGATCCGTCATTACATCTGCTGAGGCACACATCAAGAAACGGAATACTTAGTTCAGATTCCTTTTCTATGGTGAATTGTAAAGAAGGATGTCAGTTGTTGAAAGCAAACAAGACATCATCAAGAACTACGTTATTATCACAGATGACAAAGGTGTCGTCTAATGTATCTTTGGTAAATGTCAAAATGACCTATGGTTTGACTAAGTTGAGAATTTTCCAGCTTTGCTGTAAAACAATTAGCCAACAAGGGACCCAGCGGTGATCCCATGGCAATGCCATCATCACTTTGTCCATAGATCTCATTGTTTGAAGGTGAACTGAACATTCAATGTGCATCTCGATAAAAGCTCTTTGAGGTGGATTGTCGGCAAACCTATTTCTAAACTATGTGTATCTATATAATCACAAATATTATAGCAAAACAGTTTCCATGAGAGGAACATTGGTAAATAGCGACGTCACATCTAATGAGAACAGGACTTTGTCTGAGACAATAAAATCTTTAATGCTACCAATAAATTTAATAATAATAATAATAAATGGAAAGAAACAACAATCATTTTAATTGATTAGAAATGCTCTTTTATAAATGTCAAACGATTGATTCATAATAATTGAGCAAAGAATATCCTTTTCGATAATTACCTCTTCTGGCTCTACAATTATATGCACCGAAAATATTCCCATTGAGTCATGAAGCAAAATAAAAAACAAATTCATCAGCGAAGAAAATGCTTCTTTATTGACGAAATCATCATCAGAGGCTGGCTGTACACAGTCGTATTTATATTTACCAAAAACTATTTAGTGGTCTATTATTGAGTAATAGGGGGTGACATAATTGATATAATTACTCAAAAGTGGCTTTAGAAGTAAAAATAAAAATATAAAAGTTGTAAATTACGTGGTACTCAACGATGGCACAATTTTAGAAATTTGATAATGTTAAAATTGCTATTGCATAGTGAGAATAAAGGTGGTAGTTGAGTGTCCATTCAACAAGTGTGAAGAGGGTGTGAAAATATACAAAGGGAGCATATGAAATTGAAAATAGTGAATTAATTATAAAAGCAAAAGCAAACTAAAATTAAAATTAAAAAAGAAAAGAAAAAATCCAAATTTTTTTTACAGGGATTGATTAGTGAAGAGGTTAAGACCAAAGTAGAATAAGAGACTGGACAAATACTTTCTGTATACAGAGTTTAGGGTTGTATAGTTGAAATGCCAGCGCCTCCGTCATACACAAAAGCCGAAACCTGACGCTTTTTGTACCATTTGGCTTCAATTTGTAGATGATCTTGAAAGACGACTCTGGTGGAGCTACGTGGCATGATTTCATCAAATGCTCGAGAATTGAGCTAGTAATTGTCTTACATTGTCCCTTTGCTAACTATGCCGGATAATGTTCAGAGATGCGTTTGGAAAGTGTGCGTTTTGTGCAGTCAAATATATATATATATATATATATATATATATATATATATATATCATAACCGATTTAATTGATAGCAACATGAAAGATAAGCAGTCTAAACTGGTCACCGACTCAGTTCCAAAGAAAGAAAACCTTATTCATGAACTTGGAATTCAAAGGTTCAGATCAAGCTTCAGATATGCTCAAAAACCGTCTCTCTAAAACAGTCAGTAAGACGTTCTTTGCAGCAAAATTACATATGACGCTGTTCACCAGCCGCAAGTTGTTCTCTACCTCTGTAAAAGATAAGCTCCCCCGTCTGGCCGCCTACATATGCATCTACCTATCAGTTCACCTACTCTTGTGGAGCAAGATACATTGGCTGTAGTCAGAGGACGCTGCTTTCTACACAGATACGAGAACATATTCCAGATGCATGGTTTTACAAGGAATAAAGGAAGTGTGTGTGTGTGTGTGCGTAGCTCTATTCTAGAACACCTGATCGACTTCTGTCACTCGGTCAACCCTGATCATAATTTCAAGATCGTACATAGAATCCGTGCTAACTTGACAGTTGCGTTTTCTTCGTTACAGACTTCTAAAGACAGCTGAGACCTTGGCCATTCATGTGACTTTAAGCCAGCCAGACCTTTGTGTACAAAAGAAGTATGTACAATGCCTACTTCTGCCTTGGCCGTAGAGGGATAGACATTTATTTATCTTGTTTACTTAGTTATTCTACGTAATTTTCCCTTAGTACTATTATTATTATTGTTACTATTCTCCCTCTGAATGTTTTCCACTTGACCCATTTATCATTTTAAACTCAAAATTATTAATTTTTCATATTTTTGGTTTTAACAATATTGAATTCTATCTCATCAAATTTCGCATCATGTAGTGTAACATTTCATATTCATCTACTAATCCTATAATTATGTATGCCTTTCCAAAATCTATACACCTTATGTATTATTCTATATATATATATATATATATATATATGGTGAGATCAGGCTGTGAGAAATTATGCACAAGCAACTTGATATGATTATGAGCAATAGTTTGTGCTCGAAACGTCATCAGTTCATATAACTGTAAAGACTGTGCGATTTATCAAAATAAAATCTTATCTATAAATGAATTATGCACAAGGCTGATTCAAGAACCAATCACAGCAGACTTAACCTGGCGAAATATGATTCGCAGATAGAGAACTCTATTTTTCGAGGAATCCCGAAACAACCAATCAGAAGCCTGCGTTTGTCTGCCTAACATCTGATAAACAACGATTTAGAAGACTGCGCTTGTCTACTTGCATAAGCTATAATAATGTATGTGAAATATGTATAAATACGTGTAGATTTTCGTAATGAAACGATCTGTTGCCTGGCCCTTGTCTACTGTTGGTACATATATATATATATATATATATAAGATAATAAATGGTTGGAGGCAATCGGCCACAGGAAACCTTCGACCTGAGTCTTGTGCCAGTTGGCACTCAACAGTTATTCAGCAAGGTGTATGTGCAGCCCCCTTGAATCTTCTGAGATTCGGATTGGCGTTATCAAGTGAGTGCTGCAGTAAGAGACATTACCACTGAGCTATTCAGGCTGCCTCGCGATTGACCTCCTGTAGAACTGTAGTGGATACTTCGATTGGACAGTAGAGAGTAACTTGTGTAATCTGTCTTATCCTTTCTTCGGTGCAGACTGAATTCTATCAGTCAGGGTCACAATGTGGCCACCATGCCGCTGGGTTCCTCACCATCACAATGCACATCGATTTGATGATATTAGAGATGGGTTGGAGGCAATCGGCCACCAGGAAGCCTTGCTTGTGCTAGTTGGCACTCACTAGTCAGCAAGGCGTATATCTGCCACATAGTTACCAGTGTCCAATCAAAAGTATCCACTACAGTCCTACAGGAGGTCAATCGCTAGCCAGCCCGAATAGTTCAGTGGTAACGTCTCTGACTTCAGCCAGCAGTGGGTGACGCAGGTTCGCGAATCTCAATCGGACATGAGTTCCTTCAAGGTTGCAGATACGCCTTACCGACTGGTGAGTGCCAACTAGCACGAAACTTAGGCACCCAGGATTTTCCTGTGGTCGATTACCTC